AGTCTATAATGGTGTTCAAAATGTTTCTTATTAAATCAAAATGCAAATGTTACACGAATTATTCGTAATGTGCCTCATGGCTGATTGTGATTCTCCGTCTCTGTGGTGGGGGGAAGAAAGCTGAAAACCACTCACAGAGGGGACTCTGAGGGCCACCTAGGACCCTAGGCTGCTTCCCCTGCTCCTTGCCGCCTTCTCAGCCCCCACCTTCAGGGCAAGCCTACCAAAGGGCGCCTATGCTTCCTTCCTCTTTTATTTTCTGGATCTGGAATCAGGACAAAGCAAATCAGATCTGGTATCAGTTTGCTACTCTTTTAATAACACCTAATACATCTTGGCACATCCACTTACTTGGTCATTTTGACAACTCTCTTTTAAAGAATGGCACTGATTTGTTCAGCTTTTGATCAAAATAAGTTCAAGTGTCTAAAATAGAGACCATGGTACATTACATCTCTGTATTCAACTGCCACATTCCTCCTTCCTCCCCCGATTCACTTGCCAGCACAGTATCTTACTCTGTAAACACCTTTGGTGTTTTTATCTGTCTCTACCTATTTCTTTTCTCACTTCTTCCCTCCAGGAAGGATACTGTTGGGGTTGGGTTCTCTTACTACAGGGTCTATTAGTAGGCTGGCTTTGTGCCAACCTGGTCACTCCATCCATACATAGGTGGAGAGCCCAAGAATTCTCCTTTCCCAGTGTGTGTGTGTGTGTGTGTGTGTGTGTCCATGTCAGTCCCTTGTCCCTTGCCTCTTGAAAGCCCTGACCTCAGCTTTCCTCTCCTCAGAAATGCCAGAGGAAAGAGATGAAGTTGGAGAAGGTGACCTGTTTCTTCCCTAGTGGGCTGAGCCAGGCTCCCAATCCTGAAAGAACTGTTGCATTTCCAGAAGTGGGTTTTCCTCAGCAAAAGATGTAGCGACCAGAGCAGTGTACTTGGAGTCAGAAGACTTGGTTGCAAGTTCGGACACCACCACTTACCAGCTGCGTGACTTTAGGCAAGTCACTTTAGCTTTCTGAATTTATTACGTATCCACAGGGTGGCTGGATTGAAATGAGTGTGTCTAGACTTGTTCCATTACACTCTCAAAAATACAAAGAAGGAAGGAAGGAAGGGAGGGAGGGAGGGAG